GACACGGTTCGTGAGCTGTCGCGTGACCCGTTTGCCCCTCCTGCCGCAGATAATGAGCGCCTCTCCAGGTGTCAGGAGGACGTCCAGCGGCTGCAGCGCCGGGCCGTTCGCCACGGTGAGAAACGCGACAAGATCGAGCGCCACAACCGGCGCCTCGGTGAGCTGATGGAGAAACGCAGTCGAGACCTGCAGAGCCGACTGAGCCAGCTCGCCGCACTGCGGCGGGAGCACATCCGCGACCTTACCACCCACATCTTCCCCATGCAGGAGGAGAAACTGGGCAGCAGGTAGGGGGTGGAGTCTTCTGAGTTTCAGGAACCGCTCTGATGGGACTGATGGAGCAAACGTGTTGTCATCCCACTCTCTGCCCCTACGTGTATCCATTAGAGACCCCGCGGACGTCCTGGCTGAGTGCGACCCGCTGACCTCGAGCACGGTGAGCGAGCTGGCCGAGGCCCGGAGGACCACCTACCTGTCGGGACGCTGGATCTGGGACGACCAGAACGGAGAGACAAGCATCAGCATCACGGGGCCCCCTGTGGCCCTGCCCAGCAACGGAGACTGCTCCGCTTACTACAGCTGGGTGGAGGAGAAGAGCACCAATCAGGGCCCAGGTGAAGAGTGAGGAGGCGGAGCTTTAGTGGTCGTACTGATAACTGATCTCATTTTTTCCCTGAGTTCAGATTTCTTCTCAGCCAGAAGTTTGTTCTTGTATTTATCTGATGATGTTGTTGTTGTTATGATGATGATGATGATGATGATGATGATGGATTGCATTTATATAGCGCTTTTCGAGGCCCTCAAAGCGCTTTACAATTCCACTATTCAGTCACTCTCACATTCACACACTGGTGGAAGCAGCTACAGTTGTAGCCACAGCTGCCCTGGGGCAGGCTGACAGAGGCGAGGCTGCCATATTGCGCCATCGGCCCCTCTGGCCAACACCAGCAGGCGGTAGGTGAAGTGTCTTGCCCAAGGACACAACGACCGAGACTGTCCGAGCCGGGGCTCGAACCGGCAACCTTCCGATTAACCTTCCGACGAACTGCCAACTCTTGAGCCACGATCGCCCAATAATAATAATAATAATAATAATAATCATAATAATAATATTCATGGTTATTATAACTCGTCTGTTTTTATTTTAAAATTCTTTTAAAATACTTAATTTACTTGTAATTTTTTTAATAATGAGTATTTTTATGTGGGTGCTCAGAAAACTTTCATTTGAAAAGGTTTCAGGTGACCCTGTCCTGACCTTTGACCTCCTTTTTCCGCAGAGCTGGACCACATTAACCCGGCTCACACCATCAGCGCCGCCCTCTGCTACACCACGCAGCTCGTCACCATCTTGTCCCACATGCTGGACGTCAACCTGCCCAAGAAGCTCTGCAACAGGTGGGAACGTTTGAAAAGTGGCGCCACTCAGCGGTAGGTCGATTTCGCCGATGTCGCGGCGTCCATCTTTAATCTTCGCTCTGTGCTGTTTGTTTTCTCAGCGAGTTCTGCGGAGACAATCTGAGCCGCTATCGCTTCACCCGAGCTCTGAGCAAGCTCAACACCAACGTGCTCCACCTGTGCTTCTCTCAGGTGAGACTCGCACGCTGTTTGTTTGTCCGTCTTCTGTGTCGAGGGGACTCTGAGACGCAGCAGGACTGATTCTGATTGATTGATCCGTCTCTGTGTTCCCGCCTCTCACCCCCTTTCTCTGTGTTCAGCACGTTGACAGCGAGAAGCTCCACCTCCATCACACCCTGAGGAACATCGTGTTTCTGGTTGCCCCTGACAACGACAGCCTGGGCAGGTGAGGGGGTGAAGTGTTTGATTTCAGGAAAATGTGGGTGCGATCTGCTGATTGAGAGTGACGCAGTGTTTACCCGTGTGCTTCAGGACGGGTCCGTTCGAGGTGTGCGCCGACCTGGAGGAGTCCATGGAGTTCGTGGAGCCAGAGGCGGAGGGGCCGGCGGAGGAGAGCGGAGACGAAGCGGTGACGGACGACGAGACAGACCTGGGGACGGACTGGGAGACGGTGCCCAGCCCGCGGTTCTGTGATATCCCCTCACAGGTAAACACACCTGAGGCGTTTGTGCCGAGCTGCTCGATCATTTAGATCCGTAACCGTTATTATCGATCGGTTATTAACTCGGTGTGAAGGACGACTCGCGCTTAGAGCAGCAGCGGGCGGGGGCGCCTGAGGGGAGGAGTCACTTTGACCTCCATAGGTCAGACATCAGTGCAGAAGAGTTACGGGGCTCCGCTAGTGACCTCTAACCTCTCCTCTTCCTCCTCTGTCCTCCTGCAGTCCATGGATCTTTCCCAGAGTGCCCTGCAGGTCTCGCAGCCCGCCGCCAACACCGGAGGGATGATCTCGTCTGCCGCCGCCTCAGTCAGCTCCTGGCTCAGAACCTACACCGGCCAGCGCTGACCCTGCGGAGTCCTGGGGCTTGTTTGGATCTCAGGGGTCAGAGGTCACCATCAGCGCTTCGGACTCTGCAAATAGAAACGTACTGTTTGAGGAGCTGAGAGGTCCTGCTGACGCGTCACTGCTGATTTGATTGGTTTAACTTTTTTTCTCCTACTGTGAGGTTGTATCGCGGAGCCGCTCAGTCTCTGATTGGACGAGGTTGTTGCAGTCTGGAGGGGCGGAGCTCTTTTGCAATAAATTCTCTGCAGTAAGCTCCACGCACAGGCGTGGCTCAGTCTCCAGCGTGTCGGCGTCACGGTGACCTGACGTGTCCTTTGTGACCTTTAAGGTCGTGATGAGAAACTGGAAGCGCTCGCATTCAGCAGACTGCAGGATGCCACGAGGTCAACATGCGCTCTGATTGGAGGATTGTGCTCCAATGCCGAGGCCACTCCAAGCCTGACTCATTTTTATTAAAACACTATTTTCAGTTTTTCTTGTACATTTTCAGCCTCATTCAAAAAAAAAGTTTCTTCCTGTGGGCGGAGCGTGCATCATTGTCTCTTCTGATTGGCTCCAGTTTAGAAAATCGAGCTGCCATCACAGAGCAGCTGGAATCAAACCTAGACCGAGCCGCCTCACACTTTTTCGCTGAGCTGGTGACTCTGAAGTGGGATTGATGATGATGGCGGTTTATGGACGAACATGTTTTATTTGAAGTGTTTCAGTTTGTGTGACGTTTGAAATAAAATCCTGTTTCTGCTTTTTGAATCTGAAGTTGAGTTTTTAATAGAGTGTGCGTGCGTTGACCTTTAACCTCAGGGTCCATGGGCCACAGGAGGTGCTGACATCCACATGCTGTACAGGCAGCTTCACCTGTGCCTGCAGCATGTGGATTGAAGCACAGGTGAGTGTACACCTGTAATAGCCGTGTGTGTGAGGACTCGCAGCATCTCCACAGTAACCGCACGATTCACGCCACGGCGTGCTGTGTTGATAGATTTAAAGACTTCACCCGCCGATGCTGGCGGGACATCAGCGTCTGCTGCTTGTGCTCTGCAGGTGTGAACACCTGAGCTCAGGCTGTCTGATTGGACGGCTCCAGCTGATGGGTCTGTTTATTAGGCTGTCACAGCAAGCACAAGGTGAGCACGGACAGGTGATGATTTCACACGACTGAGCAGTTCCAGTGATGTCACAGGGATCCCAGGCTGCATAGTGTTCGTGGCACAGGTCAGACCAGGCGAGCAGCACGGTTGGTGGAAAAACAAAACGGGTGGAGACGGAACAACAGGGTCGGCCCGGGGCCAACAAAGCTTGTTACAGTCAAAGTTAATGAAAATGTTTCGGGATGTGTGGTGCCGTTCATTCATCCAACAGGCATTCGTCACATCTGCAGGTTTACTTCACTGCATGCTGCTGACGCCCACCTGCAGGATCGTGAACTGTACAGAGTGACTGTAATGAGTGCAACCATCCGTTACCACGGTCCTCCTGACCCACCTGGGCTTCCTTCAGGCGTGCTTGTAGTGAAGGTTTACCTTCCCTGACGCGGAGTTTACATGTGTTCGTTTTCTTTCGTTGTGAGTGTACTAAACAGTTCTTATTTTATTTCTAGCCAGTATCAGATGAATCTGACCCCAGATCTGCTTTGTGTCCCTGAGAGCACCATGCAGCCTTCAGTCTCAGCAGGTGTAAGTACAAACTAAACCTTATTTAAACTACACTTTAACTGACCCCTGCTCTCTCCTTTGACTGCCTCTCTCTCATTCTCTTTTTGATGGAGAGCTCTTTTGTCTGTATTCATTTACACTCTTACTGATGTGGATGAATCCCTAAGCAGCGACAGATCAGGTTTTAACACGATTCCTGTCAGCTGCGCTTTATTTTGCAAATCACACAACGTGCACACACCTGAGCTGAGCTGCGATTTTGAGTTGTAGGGGCCGCCGTCGTTTGGATGCTAGTTAAAAGTTATTCCGGTTACCCGCCCTCGGGTTCAACGTTATTCCGGTTACCTGCCCTCGGGTTCAACGTTACTCCGGTTACCCGCCCTCGGGTTCAACGTTACTCCGGTTACCCGCCCTCGGGTTCAACGTTACTCCGGTTACCCGCCCTGGTACCGTTGAGTTATTATGGCTCAGTGAGCAGTTATTGCAGCTGTCAGCTGTTTTCTGACGCGCAGGAGGACGTGAGAGCGTAACTGTTCAAACAGTGCTCGGATTCATAAAGGCTGAAGGTGAACCACAGTTCTTTCTTTCACACTTGGAATTCTTTGCATGATTATCTGGGTTGGAGCATGTGGGAAGCCGTGACTGAGAAAGGTCTGAAAAGCCTTTGTATTGTGAGGCAAATGATTACTGGATGCCGAGTGAGTGCAAGCAGCCTTTCTTCTTTGGGTAAGCTGCTTATGGAGCGCAGGGTTCAGGAGGAAGCGGGTGAAGCTGCTCTGCTTTCGCTCTTGTTATTCTTGTTAATAACACCCACTTTTACAAACTGCAGTTTTGTGTTTTCTGCTTGTTTGTTTTGAATCGTGTTTGTGGGGAGACTCCACCCCCTCACCCTTGTGCTAAAGGATTTCTGCAGGTGGAGGACAATGGCGAGAAGGTCTGCTGCTCTGTTTCTGCTGCTCTGCTGCTCTGTCAGTCGGGGCCAGTCGGAGGCTTCTGTCCCCCCGCCGGCGGTCATCTCCCAGGCCCTCCCCATCCTCTGGGATGAACTGCGAGGGCTGAAGGAGCTGGTGCTGAGCCTGAAGGCGGAGGAGGTGGGCCGGCGTCAGATCCTGAGGAGGGTGGAGAGCTGGCTGAGGGATGGAGAGGTGCAGGCCGAGCAGCAGAGACGGAGCCTGGAGGGACTGAAGGAGGAAGCGCTCCGACAGGCGGAGGAGCTGAGGGGGAGGGTGGAGGAGCTGGAGGAGCAAAGCAAAGGTGAGGCCTCCTCCGTCACATTAAGTGTCATAGCTGCTCCTCAGACTGAGAGGTGGTGCAGTGAGTTTAGCTGGTGTAGCACAGGTGAGTCCTGCTGTCCTCAGGTAGGCGAAAAACATCAAACTGTTTTGAGCCTAAACAGCAGGAACCTGTTCGTGTATTAATCACTAGAGGCTGTCGCATAACAAGAGGCAGAAGAGGCAAAGCTGGAGCTGTAGGTTGAGAGCTTCGTGTTAGAGCGGGGGGTCAAAGTTAATAAAGCTTACAAAGGATTCTTGAGAACATTTAACACGTTACTTGATAAAAACGGTCCAGTAATTGAAATCAACAGGAAAACAACTATGCAGGAAGACCACGGAGGACTACAAAATACCAGCAAAAAAAGAATCCCCTATATCGAGCATTCATAAAAAAGAGAACCATGGAAACTGAAAGGAAGTATAAAACTTACAAAAATAAATGAACTAATATAATGAGATCCTGTAAAACAGAGTATTTCATTAAAAGGTTGGAACACAATAAAGATAACACAAGAGATATCTGGAACGTATTAAACATTGAGTTATTGAGCTATTGAGTTGTAGGGGCCGCTGTCGTTTGGATGCTAGGTTAAAGTTATTCCGGTTACCCGCCCTCGAGTTAATGTTAACTCAATAACTCAACAGCTTGACGACCTCAGGGCCAGGATAAAGTTCCAGAGAGACATTCGGGACTGCAATCTCCTCTGCTTCACCGAG